GAAGTTGGGTCCTTACATTCGTGAGGCAGGCGCTGGAACCACTGAGCTAAACCCCCCGCCTTCTGAGGGTCTAGGGTTTGACTCAGTGGTTCCACCACCTGCCTCGCAAGCATAAGGACTGGAGTTTGATCCCCAGTACCAGGAAAAAAAAAAAATCCCAGGCCCCAAAAAATCATTTTTGCACACACAAGTTACCATCACTGTAATAAAAAAAAAAAAACAAAAAAACTAAATATTGATAATTCTAACTGTTGCACATGTTGAAATAAAATCAATAATTGCATTCTAGAAGACTCCCTTTTTCACTCTTCTTATAATCACTGAAAACATTTACTAAAAAATTCTCAAAATTTGATTATTCCTTTTGAATTTCTTAGTACTTGAAAAATATTAAATAACAATGGTTAGAAATAGTCCTTTAATGATTTTGTTGAATATAAGAACATAAATTACCAATAAAAAACTCCATTTCTGCATTTTTTTTATAAGATTAGTAGATTCATTTTATACATAACAGATATAATTATAGTTAATAACAACATGTAAGTACTGAAAATTCTTGAGTCAAAGAGTTACTAAATAACATTTACTTCATACTGCTTATAAAGCCAGGGAAAACAGGCTAGTTACATAAAAATGTAAAAACAGATCTGGGCAACTAACTCAGTGGCACAGTATTGCCTGGCACGTGTGAGGCCCTGGGTTCAACACTCAGCCCAGAGGAGAAATATAATTATATATAAAACAATACTGAGGTATAAAATAAAGTTGTGCACAAAGAAAAATTTCAACTAACCAGAATTACCTCAGTATTCTAGGCAAATGATATTTAAAATTTCATATTACCAGTGCATATTACTTGAACTGTATAGCAATATTTGTTTTCACAAATAAACCAAAATGAATAGCTATGTTTGATAAGAAAATGGAAATACATGACAAATATATAAAGATGGTTATATACCCAAACCACAATGTAATTAAAATAAAAATCAGTAAGAAAGGATGTTGAAAAGCCCCTAAATATTTGGAAATTATAACATAGTGTACTTCTAGAAAATCCATCAAAGAAAATAAAATTAATAATTGAAAAAATATGGCATAGCAAAATTTGTGAATAAAGGAACACTTAAAATGCCTATATTAAAGCAAAACTTTAAAAAAAGATTAAATCAGTAATTTAAGCTTCTACTTAAAGAAGCTAAAAGTGGGCGCGGTGGTACATGCCTGTAATTCCAGTCTCAGACAGAAGAATTTCAAGTTCAAGGCTACCCTGAATAATTTAGCAAACCCTTGTCTCAAAATAAAAGAATGAAAAAGGGATAGGGATATAGCTCAGTTTTTCTTGGGTTCAATTCCCAAAACCTTTAACCCCTAAAGAAGCAGTTAAAAGATCAAGAAGAAGAGTATAAATATATCCTTAAGAAAAACACAGGCAAGCTAACGACTCAGAGAAAAATATTAATAAGATATTATTAATATATATTATATTCAAAATATGTTTTATATTCATATATAAATATACATTAAAATGTATTTGTATATATTAAAAAACTTGAATTTCTCCAAGCAATAATAAAAGTAATACAATTATGGGCAGAGACTTCACAAAGTCTAGCCAAAAAAGAAAATGCAAATTAAAATCACAAGAAACTGCTACACACTCCTAGAATGCCTACAGTTAAAAAGAGAAAATCAAATGTTGGTAAGAAAACAAATATTGGTAAGAATATGGAAACAGAATTCTGGAGGGCATTTAAGCTCCTGGAAAAAGGCTTGAAAATTTATTAAACAGTTGAATGTATATTTATTCTCTGACTCAGTAATTCTACTCTTCATATCTTTGTCCAGGAAAATAAAAACACAAAGAGTTATATAAGAAAACCAAAAAGAATTAAAAAGTTATATGAGAATGTACATAGTAGTGAAGGTTGCAGGAGGGGGTAGCTCAATGGTAGAGGGCTTGCCTAGTATATGCAAGGCCCTGGGTTCAATCTCAAGCACTGCAAAAACAAAACAGAATATGCACATTAGCTTTATTCATAACAGCTAAATGTGGAAACATAAAGTGCCCATCAGTAGGAAAATGGAAAAAGAAACTGTGGTATATTCACACAATGAAATTGCTCTTCAACAGAAAGCCTGCAACATAGATAAACTTCAGATATGTGCGGAGCTGGACATAAAAAGAGTGCATACTGTGTTAGTTTACACAAAATTTTAGTACTAGAGTAATAATCAGCAAAACATGTTTGTTGAGGAGGAAGACTGAATGGCAAGAGAAATAAAAAAAAATAAGATGTACTGTAATAGGGATATGAATTATGTGAAAACATTTATCAGTCTATACTGCTAAAAGTAGTTTGTTTCAATGTATGTAAATTCTGCATTAAGAAACACCTATAAAAATAACTGAATGGAGATAAGAGTGGACAGAGGTGCAAATAAAGCAAGAATGGCAGTATATCACCAATAATTAAAGCTAGGTGATGGGTACATGGGAACAGTATACTATCCTGTTTACCCTGCATTATGTTTGAAATTTCCCATGATAAAAAAACGGAGGTAGAGGCCGGGAATGCAGTTCAGTGACATGGCATCTGCCTGGCAAACATGAAGCCCTGAGTTTGATTTCTGGTACCAGGGGGAGAAAAAAACAAATAAGAAAAAGAAAAGAAAAAAAAAGAGGTAGAATTTCGGTCTTTTTATTTAAAACAGGACAGGGCCAGGGATTTAGCTCAGTGGTTCTGCTGCCTACCTCACAAGTGCAAGGACCTGAGTTCAATTCCCAGTACCAAAAATAAACAAACAAACAGGACAATCTTAGGTTTGGGGGGCTGGGGTTTTGGCTCAGTGGTGCCGCACCTGCTTGGCAAGCACAAAGTCCTGAGTTCAATCCTTGGTACTGGAAAAAAACCCAAAACCCAGGACAATCTTACTATCTCAATTGAAATAGGCAATCAAATAAATAGGGCTTGTTTACACTAGCAAAATTCTAATAAGAAATTTAATGGGATTGTTAAATTTAAGTGGGGCAATCTGTGATACCTCATGCTATTTTTGAGTCTTCAGGCAATGGCTGCTTTTCACATATAAATTTATGAAAGTTATAGCTTTGGTGTTTTAACAAGTGTTACAAGTGCTGAAAACTTTTTTTAATTTACTAGTGACCTAAAAGAGATAATCATTAAGATTAGCGTTAAGTTTATTAATTGCTAGAAATATGTCCTCCTCTTGAGCAAAAAAAAATTACTTTAAGTTGGACTTGTCCCTTTGAATCAATTTGTAGGATAAAAGGCCCACTGAATATATAAAAATACTTTTAGATGCAATATACAACAGGATTGCTCTGATTCATAATTCTACTCTACTGTTTTTACTGAAAAGCATATTAAATCCATTTTGCATTAATGATGTACAGGTTCTCACTATATAGTTCAGGTTGGCCTCAAACTCACTATGTAGCTCAGGCTGGCCTTGAATTGGTTCCAATCTTCCTGCCTCAGCCATGCACCACCACACCTGGCTATGTACAGTATACTTAAAACAGGGGGAAGAAAATCCCCCATGAAACTTTTCTGCTGTGAATTGAAGAAGATTCATCTGAAGTATTTCCAAAATTCTGAACATGCTATGATAAAAAAAAGTTTCCCTTTGTGTTTTTATATTCTTCTCTCACTGCAATCAATAACCACTTAATATTTACAAATTGTTGTTGATTCAAGTGGTATGTAAGTTTTATTGTTTAACAAAGGTACTGTGCAAACTTCAGATTGGTTATTTGAACTATGGAGAATACCAATAAAATATTTTAAGTTTTGCAATGTGAAATGTTTTTTGTATCTACAAATTCATATTACTACTAATACAATACATGCTTAGTGAAGAACTGAAGCAAATGAAAAGTACCTAGTAACTTCTGCTGATTTCCTAAAGAGACAGTAATTAGCTGATGTTGAAAATAATTAGCCTTGGGCTGGGGATTTAGCTCAGGGGTGCCACTGCCTGCCTTGCAAGTACAAGGTCCAGAGTTCAATCCCTGGTACCAAAAAAAAAGAAAGAAAGAAAAAAAGAAAAAAACAAGTAATTCCTAATGAGAATTAGACTTGTATTATACAGTGGTTTAAAAAAATATTCGTGTATTTTACCAAGAAAATTAGAATGTTTATGGAAAAAGTTAAGTGTATGGGAAAATTAAGTTAGAAAGTTAGAAAGTTTACGGGTTTGGGGCTAAGTGTGACTCCAGACATCAAAGCCTAATCTTTGTATTTTGCAAAGAAACTAAATCTCAGAAAAGTAAAGTTGCTTAAGTACACTGAAGAGCAGAGTTAGGATTAAAATTTAAAAACATGTCTCCCGATTCCTAATCTATAACTCAACCCCTTCAAGCAATATTAATTTTTTTTTTTTTTTTTTTTTTTTCCCC